GAATGAAAAGGCAGGTCAGTTAGCCTATCGTGACGAATACAACGATAAATTAGTCATGATAGTTTCCAGGGGGGACCGCGTGGAGGTCGACCTGACAGAGTATATTGATAGTAATGTAGTTGTTAAGACCACATTATTAACAATCCCTTCCCCCCGATCCGATTGGGTTAATAATGCACCTCTATATATGTTTATAATCCCTCTTAACGTACCTGATTTTCATTGATTGTAGGAGTATACAGAGTTTCGGGTAAGAGCGGAGTTGTCAATTATAATGACGTGCGTTCGGGGAGTGTACGCACAAATAAACTGAATACGTATCTACACAATTACGAAAGATGCTGTCAGATTGGTTCCAGATTACGCATCCGATATATATTACTTCTATTTTAAATTAAATGATTTCCCGGAAAAAAGTATCTATAGCTGTTTGCGGTGTGAGTTATGATTATGTTTGTAATGTTTCTATGGGTCTCAAATCATGCAATTAATAATGATAATTCAAGTAAAATAAATCACCAAATATTATATACACTTTCTAAACGTTAGTACATTTTGTTTTTATGATATTCTATTTCTCTCATATTCTAAATCAATAGCTGCAATAATAGAACTGATAATTAATTAATTTTGTAGTTAATTCATTAACATTTCTTTATGTAATTCTAGTTTGTATATATCTACATAAGCTTTTGTTTAGTGATTCATCTTAGAAATATATCAATAATTCTGACTTCCAAACCGATTGGTCGCGTCTAAAATCACGCAAATGATATAAATCATTCAAAACTGTTTACTGTAACCCTTTTGCAAGTCTCCGCCTCGAAATTCAGCTGTATTTATTCAAGAACTGCGATTTAAATGTGAACTGATTGCTACCAGCCAAATAATCACAAATCCGCTTTCAACTTTGAATTTAGCGTTAATAAATACCGTTACTTTCACAATGATAAGTTTTAATCCCAGAAGCTTTGACTTGCCGATTAGTATTATTATAGAAGTTAATGCAAATATCACCTTTCGTTTTTATCAACATACGTACAACTTTAACCTTTAGTACTCCTTAAGCATAATTTTATTATGTGATAAAAACTAAATAGGCACACTATTTATTTAATTTTAAAATAAATAGTGTGCCTATTTCGTTTTTATCAACATATGTATAAACTTTAACTTTTAGTTGTCCTTATAACTATATCGCTGGGATAAAACATTCACGGTATATTATATATATATATATATATATATATATATATATATATATATATATATATATATATATATATATATATATATATATATATATATATATATATATATATATATATATATATATATATATATATATATATATATATATATATATATATATATATATATATATATATATATATAAAAAGGTTGCTGGCCATAAAACAATAGAAAGAAATTTCGAAATAGAGACCAGTACCAATACTCCCGCGAGGCATTATCCTCCTTTTATGAGGAGATACACGAGCCCGACAGTGAGATGTTAATGGGTTGTTAAGGTATAGTAAACGTTAACGTATTGAGTTACTATGCCTACGGAGCTTATTCTCAGCGGTGCTTTCAAATGCTTGTTAAAATACTAAAACTCTTTCATAATCCTTAATTTGGCGTTCAGGAACAATTAATTCTACAGATTATAAGACAAGTAAAAATTACCCACAAGCGTCTTATTGGAAAATAAACATTTAATATTCTTTTAAATCTTTGTGTCAGTACTTACCTAATCATAAAATTGTTAATAGGTATCCAATTAATTAAATCATAACTCGATCAATTTCGCATCGTTTAGATGTTGACTACTGATGTCGACTGTTGATAAATTTATAATAATACATAATAATTACATACCTAATGCTAAAATATTCATCACATGTACTCTATACAAAGAAAAACATTACACAAAAAGCTTAGAGACTTATATCGACGTTTCTCGGAGTTGTGAACCTCGGAACAATTATGTAGCTTGTACTATGTAGCTACTCAATATAATCATAGGCTTTAACCGTACGTTGTTATTTAGAGTAAATTAGCGTTGATGTTGGACAATTTCAACTTCAAAGAAAAAATATGGTTAGAAATTTTACTTGTTAGGTAATTTTTAATGTCTGGTCAATCTAGAAACGGAATCCGAATAAATTTGGGTAAAGAAAAGTTTATTTTTTCATTGTATACACCAATGTAATAAATATACTTATTCTTCCGAACATAATTATTAAACATTTTCAAATTTTTCATTCTTTTTATACAACGAATATAAAATAATATAAAAAATTGCGAAAAGATTTTTGCAATTATTGATCATTAATAACAAATTTCATCATCATAACAAAACGGCTGAACGTTTTGTATTTTTGTGTTTATCAAAATGTAAATTTTTGCTTTAAACTGTCATGTGTAACAGTCCTAAGCTACCTGTATTCACTGACTGACTTTCTGTAAACAATTTGAGATTGTCATTCTATTTAGTAATTTTTATTCACATAGAATAATATAAAAACCAACCTTTATATACATCTCTAAGAATAAAGAAATTGTATATGCTTTTACGCGACAGTTGTCACTTTTTATCAGGTGGCCCGTCTCTCTCCAATAAACTTAATATAGTTGTCTATTTATAATATTTTATGTTATCAATGTTACAAAATATTCTCTAGACGACGTGACAATAATTTGTAGGAAATATTAATAAATTGTACCTAGATAATGTTTGTACATAGCAAATACTTAAGAAAAATTTATACAAGGGGTAAGGTGATATAAGGTCAAAACTATTTTTAAGATTTTTATTTCTCTCTATGTTTACGAGTATATATCTGTTCCAGTATCCCACAGAAACTGCTGCACCAAATTGGTGATGGTTTTCACAGTTGTATTTTTGAAGATCTGCTTAAAAATGTGGTGTATGTTTTATCTTAATATGATATCTACAAGTAGTTGCCTACTTACGAATTTGTGGGAAAAACTTACATTAGTTTAGATAATCAGATACAGAATTTTACTATTACCTAAACAATTAAGTATCATTTTATTGTAATTCTAAAAACTTTTAGATTGATATAATTATCATCTATAGTTCTTTGAGATATCGATATTCTTAATATAAACAGTCATCTCATCAACATTCCTTTCCATTTGTTTAATAACTTTGATTAGTTTTGGGGAGATCAAAGTTTCTTTGTCTACTACTTGTGAAAACTCATTATTTGCTGTGTAACTTTTTTCTTTTATTTATGATATTGATCTCGTATGTATAGAGCACATTTCTTCGCATAAATGAGTTCTCGGGTTCGATTCTTGTATTTTTAATTCTGTTGGATATTTTACAGAAAAGATTACTCTCTAGTAATTTTCTAATTAGGATGTGGTTTTTTGACATTATTGGTTTACTTATTTTTGTACATTCACTTATAATATACATATTAGATTATAACAAAAATGTACAAAGGCGGATTTATCTCTTAAAGGAATTTCTTCCAGTGAACCTTGAGAACCAGAAGAGAGAATTATCATTATGAATTGAATTTAGAACAGTTGAATTCACATGAATTAAAAAAACTTACAATGTCCTCTGGACTTCTCAGGTCAGACTAACCCCTTTTGCAGGTGAAGACGGCTTTTAACCCTCCAACGTTTCAGCCATTTATTGCCCTTCAGCGTGTCATTTATATAAATAATATGTCTTGACCTCTAATGTTGCTAGGTTAAAAGCAAACGAAGGACGTACCCTGTACTGAGCTATACATGAATGCCTATCGTATACTACATAGACGGTATCGATCGGAGGTCGTTACTAAAAGCTCTATCTCAGTTCATAGTATACTTTATCGGGCTATCAATGTTACTAAATGATATAAGAATATCCTATTTATCGCTTGCTACTCAGAATTCCGAAGTCGAAGCATAAACGTTTCCATTTTCAGGTAAACTCATTTCACTACCTGAAAATAACTATACTAAATACTTACTTCAGATAAACTGGCAGGGAAATGAGACATTAATTTGTGATATTATTTTCTTAATCGTTTTAAATATGTTATTATAGCATAGCAATATTATAGCAGACCTGACAAACGTTGTATGGCTCTATAAAAATATTAAGGATCACTTTTCGGAATAAAAAGTATCCTATCTCTCAAATTGGAATAAACAATAAATATTTACAAAATTTCATTAAAATCGATACAGTGATTTCGAAGATAAGCGTGAAAAAACAATGAGAGATGGGAAATATATTATGATTGATACGTTATTAATTTTGATAGAATTTACATAATTTTATTGTTATTAAATCGCAGATTATACCTGAAAGAAAGAAAGAAAGGCGCGTAAAGCTATAGTCAATTATAACAGTAATAGACGAGTACATGAGATGTTAAATTAGTCTGTGGTAAAAGATGTAAGTGGTAGCCGTGTGGTCGCTGCATAAAATAGGCCATCCCTTTCTTTCCTGTGGATGTCATAAGAGGGGATTTATTGGTCGAGAAATGGGCAGCTGCTGCGCTCTTAAAACATTTCTGAAAGCCTAACAGCGGTTGGTAACCAGATTGCTAAGCGTGGGAACTACTGGCAAAATTCCTCATGGAGAAAGCTATGTTCAGTAATGTACAGTTAATTGCTGAAATAAAAACCTGTAGATATCTATATTATGGAAAAAGAGCACAAAAAATATTTTAATTAAATGTTGAAATTCTATTTCCCACGTCAATAGAATTTTAACATAGGAAAATAAAAACCATTTTGTGATATTCTTATAAGTTCATTTACTTTTCCCCTTTATATATATATATATATATATATATATATATATATATATATATATATATATATATATATATATATATATATATATATATATATATATTATATATATATATATATATATATATATATATATATATATATATATATATATATATATATATATATATATATATATATATATTTACCATAAATGAAATAAAACACAGTAATTGTAAGAATAATATTATATTTATTAACCATAGAAGTGTATGGACGATATATTATGGCACTTCGTTTTTTGTTTACACTACTTATAAATATTTAATTTGTTGCGAGACAATAAAAATTATAGTCAATACTGGTTAAAATAACATAATGTAAATATGCCTTGTTTGTAGTACAATATCGAAAAATATCAATCATTTGGTTACTTCTATTATTGAAAAGTGACTTTGACGCCGCGTCTTCATATTGAAGTTGACCTTTGATCCAAGTAATTGTTTTCATAATGAATAATACCTAAGTGATAATGTAGTTGATTCTGAAGCCTTATTTTTAAAAGTGCTATTCATCAGTAACTATTTTAATTTGGAATTATTAACTATTTTAATTTCAGTGAAATCATTAAGAGTCAGTATGAACTCATTTTCTAACAATTTTAAACCAAAACTACCTGTTTTAATATTATTGTATAAAATATTTATTTTGTTAAACTGAACTATTACAGCTCTTTCTCTAAGCTCTTAGTACCTTTAGAACTTTATTTCACTGTTCGTGTTATGACAGCTTAATGGAACTTTATTACTTTATTTATTATTTAAAATATTTATACTCAATTATACTGTTTCAATGTGAGATATATTGTATAATAGATATAAAAATAATTAGTTATATTTTTAGAGTTTCTTTAAAAATCTTTATTATAAGTAAAGATAAATTAGATAAGTATATAATGATATACAGAGATATAAAGATAACTCATAAACAGAGATGGCCCTCCAATTAACTTTGCAAGTGTAAGAAATTTTGAAGCACTGGATAAAATCGAAATATTTGAATATTTTTAAGGAAGTTTTGTACCCGAATTGTACCGTTTATGACTCGCATTGCTTTTTTTACAAATATCTCTTTGGAAAAAAAATCAGTTTCACTGGTAGAGTATCGCTTAATGTGATAATTATTTAAATTTCACCTAGTAACGGTATGAACATAGAAGCTTGGGTATATTGAAACAAAACTAATATATACTATATTTGTCAATACATAGACATTGCATTTATGTGGATATAACCAAGTGGAACTGACAATCTTTTATCCATCTCCTCTATGGTGTGTGTGGTGATATTCTTTGCAGGCGTTACAACAGTGTCGTCTAAATGGTGCTAGTACACAGAGTCTAGGTAATTCGTAGTGTTGGCAGTACTCCGAGTCAGGTTTGGGGCAAGTGGCAGCTCGTGTGGGGGACGGACAGCGTCGTTGACGGCAGCGACGGTGCCGCTCGTGAGGTTTGGGACCACAGAGCGACTGGTCCGCAGCAGGACATATCAAAGGACGTCGCGATATCCCGCGACCGCATGTTGTTGAACACTAGTAGACAATAAGCAGATATGTCTATAAGCATTTTATTGGATCAAATACAAAAACTAGTTTCATATAAAAGTAACTAATCCAGTAAATGTTGTTTTGCCTTCTAACCGACACCCGCCGGATCTATTTTTTGTTATCGGGATAAAATCTATCTTATCTCTCAAGTCAAAGCAAATAATACATATATACAATGTTTCATTAAAATCGGTTGAGCGGTTTCGGAGATTAAAGTGAACGGATTTTGTGACTTGAGATTTTTGTATAGGTACTGGAAATAATATAAGCCTATATTACTTCCTGATAATGTAATAGTCTATAAGTGAATCGAACAATAAATAAATATAATCGAATTAGTTGAGAAATTTTTGAGTTTATTCGTTACAAATAAACGATCAAATGTTTCCTCTTTATAATATTAGTACAAATATACATTAAGATAATTCCATGAGGGCACAATAGTTGATCTAATCGCTAAGAAATTTCTTCCAGATAACTTAGTAAGAACCTGCGTTGGTGATGGTATGGACGATACACGTAACATTGCTTTGTGCAAATGAGATAGCTGGTTGGGTACGAATTTCGTTCGAGTGAATTTAAGAAATAAACTTTTTAACATGGCTCAGGTGTAAATGGTTTGGGTTATATCGCTAAAGAGTTTATGTATGATTTCTCATACACATCCTATTTTGAGAATCAGATACCTAGCTGGTCTAATTGTTTTGCATTTTTTTGGCTGAAATGATCGTAGTATTTGTGTACCTATTATAACTGTCGATTACAGAAAAATAAAAAAAATATATAAAATTTGTGTTGCACTATTTAGTCTAAAAATAAATCAGTAATAGATATGTTGAATAAATAAATAAATATTCATACCGGTGTCCAAGGCATTTCTTGCCAGTAAACTGGGCAAGGTAGGCGATTGCACGGTTGTTGTTTATTTGGCTTCTGAGCAGGACACAGGGTCGGGGACACATTGTGTCTAATTAGATCCAATCTTGATGATAAACTGAAAAAAAAATTCTTTTGAAATCATTAATTTTTTATGAAAGTATACTAATAGTTGAACACTACGGTGTGAATGGAGCTAGGCACGCCAAAAAGAGGTAGGAGAAAATGTCTGAAATAACCTATGAGTTGGGCTAATGATCTAATAAGAACATTGGGCAAGACCTAAAAGCGTATGACGAAGGGTTGTGTCAATTCAGTCATTCAAGCGGACAATAGGCGATCCTGATAGTATGAAATAGAAATAGTAATGCTCACGAATGATTTAAATACAAATCAATACAACGCATATAATAATGTAGGTAAAGATTGATATTCAATAACTTACAGTGTACAAATCATTTTCGATGTTAAAATTAAATTATTCTGATAGATCATATTGGTACTAATAAATCATGTTTATATCATTGTGCCATTTGTTTTAATTATATGCACATTAAATGATATTAATCAATAAATAGCATTCATGCTATTGATTTATCATTTTAGCTAATGTGATCGCAGATAGAAAATAGTATTCGAATACATATGACTTTATACCTAAACGGATTAATAATATCCTTAGGTCTTATTCGCACAAGCAATGATGCATGGACTGGTCAGTACCTACTAAATAATAAAAGTAAAGTCAACGTAACATATTACTCTGTCTGACTTTCCATTGTCCGTAGGATTTCAGACAACTTTCCTTTATGTCACGTCACAAAGCAGTCGAGCGGTTGGACTCGGTCAAATAACAGACAATGGAAGTAGGTACGTGCCCTTTGGTAAGTACGCTAGTAACAGTTGTCGCAAATTTTGCGAAATTCAACACTGAAATTTTGCAGCACAAATTTAGTCAATTAATAAGTTAGCATTGTGTATATTTATAATGAGGCGTTCATTAAACAATAAGTTTCGCCGTCGGTTTTATCAAGCAGTCATTAATCCATATTTATTTAAAAAAATGTGAAAACATACTATACATATAGGTTCTTAATCTATCTGTAAAAGTTAGTTTATTTTACCTTTTGACATTACAAATTGTAGCGAATGGTTTGGATTTTAATATATCCTTTTTTTATATTTGTAATTATTAATTTTATAAGAATTCCTATTCCCATTAATATAATCCAGGAATAGCGTTTCAAAAATTGCCATCGAAGGTATCATTAGAGGTATTGTCTGTAGTTTTTTTTTTTTGGTGGATGAAAATGGTGGTAACCCCGCCTGCCTAATGGGATACGCTGGCGGGGCACCAGTGAAGGGTGATCGATGAGAATCGCAGTTAGCCCATCATGATTTCATCGAATTAAATGATAGTTTGCAGGGGGAACCACGAGTTGGTCAACCTGGTTGGGTATATAGCAATGGGATTTTTAGTTTCCATTACTAACAATCCCTTTCCCCCCATTGTCAGTAGTTGCCACGCGATAGGTTGGCAATTGCAATTGCAGCATTTTAAAGATAATCGGTCGGCAATGGCTTATTTATGCCGGGACCGATACGGCGAAGGTATGCAGCATTTTAAAGGTAATCGTCAAAAGCTTACTTTTTATTTCGATTGATGCTCAGAAACAAAATATGATATGAGAAAAAAAAACATCTTATAATGGATGCTTAAAATGCTTACCTTAAACTAGACAATACGCAATACAACTGTCTCTCTTGTACCCCCTCTTCACCACATGTAGCGCTGCACTCTTCCCACTCACCAGTTCGCCAAGTGAAGTCGCAGCTATAAGAATAACGACCATATTGTAAAAATGTAAGTAACAGATAATATAAGAAACATAACTGCACCTGAGCCGTATAAGAAACGGTGCAACGTTGTATAGGTAGGTCTTTTGCTTTTTTTTTTTAAATTAATAGTCATAATAAATATCTGAGAGCATTATGATCTAGCTACTCGTAAATTCCGACTTAACCGAGATCGTGAATTTCTTTATCGTAATTTGATTACTTTACCGGTAATTGTAAACTTGATTAACAAATCAGACTAATTCCAAAAGGAATAGGTTACATTCAAAATGTGTTGTTAAGATCGAAAAATTAATTGTCGACAAAACTCAAGTGTTTACAAATACACTACTGGTTTATAAAAATTCTTAAATAAACATGCAAGGAAATCCAAAGATTATACGAGTACCTAAACATTGGACTTAAAGGCATGTATTTGTAAGTGATTATAGTTACTAGTTTACTACGCACCTAATACTAATAGATTTTTCAAACCGCTCAAAAGGTTCCAATTTGGCTGACGACCGTTATCTAGGAAAAACACTCAGGATTGACGGCTTAACGTATCCATAGTTGCGTATACAGGTGGAATACCTTAGTATACCATCTATGTAACTATTGTAAAGAGTTTTCTTTGTAAGAAAGTAAATAAATATGCTTACGACTATAATTCCTGATAGGATAGTCAGAAGCCTTTGACGTCTGTTATTGTTGAAAACATGAATAACAATGAAACATTTTTCAAAAATGAATTGTGTAATTTCAGTTTTTTATAATGTCCTAAAATCCGTATTTAATAATTTATATTGCGGTCGTATTCCTAATGATAAAGTTTAGTATGAAATTCTTTAAATTACAAAGTTCCTAGTGATATTGTATACTAATTACGTAGTTACCGCGGTTGATTTCTTGAATGTAAATTTACAAATAATTTGTGACACGTCGTGAGCATGTGGTAAACAAGCTTACTATTAATTTCAGTTCTGATCGGCAATAACGTTGAAATATTAAAGGTTTCTGTGGATCGATATCCTCGCACCCGGCACATTAGTACTGCGTTGTAGCCCTCAATCATTATTCATCATGACCGCTGTCCATTCTTCTTGTTCAATTATTAAAACCACCTGTCACGCGTGAAAGAAAAATCTAAACTCGTTTGTAATGGCAGATGGATCATTTGATGCAATTTGTAACTGTCTTGTAATGATATGGGGCGCCTGTTTGACATTTCTTAAGACATTATCCTTAGCTACTAATAATATGAGTGATCAATCGTTCAATAGTTTAAGTGAATTAGAAAATAAGTTTTTAGGGATCTTGCTTAAAAAAAATAAGTAACAGTGATTCAGTTGTTACTCAGTATTAGTATATGTAAATGGATATCAAAGAAAATTCTCACAAAAGCCCTTATCTGTATACAATCTGGCATCATCGAGACCTTGACCTAATCCCATTATTTTGGATTTCCGCTGTATGTTTTTCTCTTTCATGTTTCCTTATTTATATTATTGGTTTTCAATTTAAGATTTTCTCAGGGTAACTACCTAATTTATGTATATTTATCATTTCTAGAGCATATTTTAACTTATCTCTGCGACACGAGCTTTTTTATCCGTTTTTATTTATTTATTCCTATTTTTTTTTTTATAATTATTAGGTTCTCCATTCGGTTGTATTTCTTTTTTATGTTTGTTAATTCAAAACTCCGTCAGTTGAAAAACCGATTTGGAAAATTTTTTTCTTATCTGTAAGGATATACTTACAAATTGGTCCTATGGAAATGTTATTAAAATGATGTCGTAGTTTAGTTTTTAAAATAACTGGCTTTGTCACAATTGAAGTCGGTTTGTGAAACACAATCTTATCTTCATCTAATTTATATTTTTCGGTCCAGGATTTTTTTGATCATTACGTACAAGGTGGAGCAACATGTTGTCTCTCCTATTTTTTTTTATACAACTTACAATGGCAAACAAGCTGACGGCTTAACTGATAGAAAGTGGTAACCGTTGCCTATAAACATGAACAGTACCATGGACATAACAGAGTATACTGTTTCGCCCATAATACTAATGGAGGGTACGGAGGCGTTGCCATTTCTTAGGACTCAGGCGTTAGTCCACTGTACCTTGTAAATTCGTTTTTAAATAATATTGTACCCATTTTTTTGATCCAAATAAAGAATTATTATTATTATTATTCATTGCCATATCCCACCCTTTAAACCGAAACACAGCCTGCAAACACAACTGCTTCAAAGTGGAAACACGAATGGGACAGAGGTACCCAAACAAACGACTTTTACAAAGTCTCCATCTGATAAATATGTAAAAATTTTCACAATATGTATATATAAATAAATTAAATTAACATGTATGATGATGATAAGTATAGTTAGACACAGACACTTTGTCGATTACTTGCCTCTATATATCTAAGTAACTAATATTCAAATTAAGGTTTAAATAAGCTATACGAAATGTGAGGGATTTTTTGTATAACTTATTTGAATCTAATCGACAATAATATTTTAAAAGAGATAAGTTGTTGAGAAAAATTAACATTTACATATCAACTGTTATCTCTAAAAACGGGAACGTGTTTATTTCATATTAAAATACCTACTAAAATATTTATGTGCAAAAGATAAACTGCCTGACTTATTTAATAAAAGATTGTCTGAAATTTTCACGGGAACGGGACATAAAAAAATTAATATGAACAAAGTCATTGAATGGCCTTAGTTTTGTGTTAAAATTGAATGTTTTCTACGAAGTAAATCCTAGTGTCGTATATTTACAGTTCTACTATCTGTTTACCATTCAGTTACTTAATCATAAATCATAACAAATTACCTGGGGAAATCGAGCTTTCATTACTATGAATAAAAAATTGCCATTATCTCCTTTATTATTTACACACTGATTGATGGGTGCGTGTGTGGGTTATAATGATTTATGAAAAAAATAAAATAAATGTAAATAACGGGCGAAGAGATAATAAATATTTTTTGATAATATCAGATTATTCCAGTCATTAATATATTCACGAATCTATTTGTTATGCCGGTGGGTTTGTCCGCGTGGATTTAAATTGTAAATTATGCGGTCCCGTCGTTATTAGTAAGAATAAAATATTCATGGATCCACCTATAGATTTAAGAGAAGAATTCAATAACAGACGAAAATATGATCCATCTATATATATTTCTATTATTATTGATCAAAATCCGATTTTATACGATAATCTTTTGGAAATACAGGTTTAGGAGTCAAGATGAATAGCTTGATAACACTTACAAGGATCTCAAAGGCCGATTCTTACACAGGTCTCTCGTCAAAATTTTATAATTATCAAGTATTAATTAGTTCAAGTATGATAAATATAACTAATATTTCAAAATTTGTGGTATTGTCATTGGGTATCACTGTATTTAGAAAGTATCTAAATCCGTATATATTCGTATATCGAAGTAGAGTGTAGCGAGGCAATTTAAAATAAGAAAATAATTTAAAATATAAGTTATTCTTCTAGGAAGATGCTGAGGAAAACGTAAATGGAAGACGAAGACATTTTTACAAATGGATTGTTAAATATAATTGCAATTATGGATGAATTGGTGCTGGGAACCAAATGGAATGGTTAGAGCACTATTAATTTTAAACTTAAATCATTAAACAACAGAGTCGATATTATTCACAGATGTTATATTTAGATAGATTCAGATTGTTTTTAATATGTTTACATTAAACAAAAAATTAACGAACAGAGGACAAAGAAAGATTCGGTTGTTTCTATCTTCACTTTTTGCTTGAAGATGAATGGTACTCTAAATATAATGTTATATCAACCGTCTATTCAGTACGTAGTAATTGATACAAGCGTCAAATGAACATTATAGATAGTCAATTATGCTTGACTCACGCTTTTGATTCATACCATTAGAAGATTTATTAACCTACATAGATCAATAATATCTAGATATAGCCATTATTGATCTATGTAGAAAAAGTCAAGTATTTTTGAGATGGATAATTGATTATATATTATATATATCATTACAAAGAAAAAAATTGAATGTTATAATACTAAAAAATATCAGATTAATGTCAGTGCAACAATGCGGGTTTAATTTTTTAAAGCAATTTTTAATTAAATCAATTAACCTACATGCTTAACTGAAACTGCTTGATTGTCGACGAATTTGTATAAATGTACCTGTGCGTGTTGCAGGGTTCATGCGTGGTGGGCGCACATGGTCGGCCACGTGGACAGCGCGCACGCACCGCGCGCACGCCGCCGCCGCACGACGCCGAGCACGGGCCGCGCTCCAGTCTACACAGAATTATCACGATTTATGATTAATTGTATCCCGTGGCTCCCGCGTGAATCAGTACCTAAAACACTTTTACTTTATATTTTGTGGAACCCCATATCAAATGATTATAAATCAAAGTTGATTATAAATTACAATTATTATGTAATTTAAATAGGAAAAATCTTACCAGTTCTTCACATCATATATATATATATATATATATATGCGCTATTTTAAAATAATATTTGTACTTAACGTTACCATAATATTTGTGGTATTATTTATTAGCGAAAAATAAATAATTTTGCAAAAGTCTGATAACTTCTACGGAAACCGTAGGTTCCGCGGAACCTACTTTAGAAATCCTTTATCTAAAGTATCCCGTATAGAATATATTAAGTAAGGAAATAACATATCCGTGTAACAAACTTAGTTCAGTAGTTTTTGCGTGAAAGAGGGACAAACATCCATCTATCCTCACAAACTTTCGCGTTTATGATAGTAGAATGATAAGATGTATAATAGCATCTCACTTTCGTAGATTCACGCGTGTTATTATTTAAACATTAAAATTACTTGTCACTGCATAAGCATATGCCCCTATTATATTAAGTGATTTCTATATTTTAACATTAATAAGTATTACACAACCACACCAATTGCCTAGTCTTCAGTTACGATATTCTATGTTATAAGGAACTGAACATCTGGAGGCATAATCTAAAACACCCAAACTTGAGCCAATTCGAAAAAGTTCGTTTCCTAAATTGGTCCTATCGTGAATTGAACCCGGGACCTGTCTACTACTAAAATCTTAATGTTGTATTACAACAGTATGGCACTATTATAGCACTACCACAAATATTTTCTCTGTATATACCTTTAAGTATGCAAGCTCCACTTAATTTTGCACTATGCATAGCGTTAAATTTGGAGCCACAAAAAGAAAATAACTCCTATCGTAATAGAACAAAAGTGTTAATTGTAGCAATAATACTAATAACATGACCTTTAAGGTTGAAACTCTTTGATTAAAGTTACCTGAAATTATATTAACAAAGGCAGCGCTGGAAGCTAGCGAAACCATTGAGGGATCCAAGTTTATGAGAAGAAATATTGAACTTGGAAGAGCCGGTGGCTAATAATACGAATTTACAGAGCCTAACTGGCAATTGACTAAAAGGTAATTACTTTAGTTTCTAGTTGTTAGTTTTAAAATTTGTTTTGAACTTGATAATAGATTTACTTAATTAGGTTAGTAAGCAGTTTTATACTTAAGATACTCTGAGTTTATCATTTCATAATTACAATTTTAGTCAATCTTCGTTTATAATGCTATTCCATTAAACTGCATTATGTTCGTATACTTAAAGTTTTAATAATGTCAAATGTGACATTGAAAACAATGGTTTTATTAAGTTATTCTAATAATTCGTTAGGCTCCTTATAATATGGTTGAACACAACGATGGCTGGCTCATCCGTCATACACATGAACGGGTGTTTCTAGTAGGGAATGATCTATTCAAGAATACTTTAATTGATTTTAGCTTTGTAGCTTTTTATTTTTTATTTATCAATACAAAGCCTGTGATAGTCATTTTATTCATTCAAGTTTTTTTTATTGTAAACTTAACTTTTACTTGATATATGAAAAAAGCAACAGTTGTGTTTCTTGTTCGTTTTTCTGATCTAAAATTGCTTTTCGAACAGAGCGGTAGATTCATAAAAAAAAAAATAGTGACAGATTTAAAAATGCTTTTTATTAAGTTTACTTGAATAAAATTATTTGTTATTACGAGTATTATTTAAAATATGTTCAGAATAATAAATATTCGAATTATTTGTAGTTGCCATTCGACCAATCTGTTTTCCGTTATGTATATTTTTAATGTACATATTTCTGTAATAAATTAGCTTCTTGAGATTTCTCTTGATGTTAATTAATTAGGTAATTTCTTAATATGAATATTTTTATATCAAGAAATTTCCTCATTCACTATCTCTGCTTTAAATTTTATCAAAAACAGTTATGTCGTATTATCGTGTAAGACGGCAATTTGTTACAATCACTCTATTTATACTTGATATTTTATGTTCAACAATGTCTTGATTGTTTAAATCAAGTTTACTATGATTTCTTCATGGACCTTTTTATGTATAACTTGTTGTACTTTCCTAAATATTAGTCCCTTATGACATAACTTGATATTGTTGTTACAAGCTTAAATCCAAATTCCGTTTACAATGAAAGGATGGAAGCTGTAAAGGGATAGGGGATGCAAACAATGTTACTATTACTATTCTGCAGGAAGTAATAAAAGGATACATGTTGTCATAATGCCATATGTTACCATAACTTTAACCTATTTGTAGCTTATTGAAATCCTTACGTAACATTTTGACACCTTCTCGGAAACATAATTATGATACGGAACTCTCTGGAAACACACGCCATTCTCTAGTAAGATTATCCAAATTATATTAATGTGTAAAGGTGCAAAACGGATAAAACACCTACATACAAAGTATGAATATTCTATTAATATAATAAATGCGAAAGTTTGTAACGATGGATGGGTGTTTATTACTTTTTCACGCAAAAAGTACTCAATGGATTTTAATGAAATTTGGTATACAGGTAGTTTATATCTTAACTTAGCAAATAGAATATTTTATATACTGATTCAGCCAAGCGAAGAATATAATAAAATTAATAAGTTTTAACACATGTGTAGAGTTAACCATGCCGTGTGGTCCCAACATAGAGTGGGCCACCCCTTTCTTTTCCGTGGGTGTTGTCAAGATGTGGCTAAGGGAACTTAATGGTCAAGGGATGAGCAATAGTGCCCCTCTGAAAACGTCACAAATCCTAACTGCGGTTGTCAATCCGCCTGCCAAGTGTAGCAACAACGACAAAAAATCTTCCTGTGTAAGTATCTAAGTCTAAGTAATGTATCTTCCTTCCTAAATAAACCTGTGTTCAGCAGTGGACAGTTAACGGCTGACATGACATAATGATACAGTAAACAAAATAATATTGTCTGGCGACATTTATTCAGAGGGTAAAGTAAAGCAATCAATATAGTCTAGACTATAAATATTGGTTATATATTTGGATAATTACTTTTTCGTCACTGACCTACTTACTTTGGACAGAAAGTATCTAGAATAAATTCTAGAAAGTTTAGTCATTACGGTCAAGAGATAACATACAAATAAATTAGCAAACTTTCTGGTATAATATTAGCCCGAATGAGATTAGTCCAAAAACAAGTAAATACTTAAATGCTACAAATGCCTATATTTTGCGTGTAAATATTTACTCTAAATTAGGTGAAATAAAGCCTAATTTACATCAGCTACATTATAATTCAGTGTTGCTAAAATATATGTCAAAAAAAGTTTAGAGAATTAATAAGAACAGTATTACAGAGGGCATATTGGAAAAGGTTAGTGTTGAAAAATGATTAATGAATAATTTTCCAAGGCAAATAATTTAGTAATGATAAGTTTAGTTTTCATATAACTTGCGATAATTACAGTCTATTTTATTTTGATCTTTAGGTCGGACTAGTCGTCTTTATAAAATTCTAAGTATTACCTATTCATTTTACGTTATTTATGTTTGGCATAATTTATTATTCTAATTATATTAGTCGCCTTTAAATAGTAACAAGACAAATAAATAAACGAATCTTTATTATTAAATCTAATATTAAATTAAAACAAATAATTACTTATTCTTTACCGAGTCTATATATTGATATCAAATATTGGTGTAATGTACGTCTTCAGTAAATGAGGTTATATTAATTAAACATACCTGTGCCTGTATTCGTACGGGCGCGTTCGTCCCGCGGGCGTGCTGTAATTCTCGGAAATCTCCACTGTAAAAATCTTATATGCGGGATTCTCTGGGGCCGCCTGAAAACATAAATATAATATTAATAGATTGAATATATATGTAGGTAATATCTATCTAATAATTTTTTAGTACTTAAACCTTTGATGGATAAGAAAATATGTAAAAACTAGTAAAATGAAATATATTAGTGTCGTGTAGTTTCGGCATAGAATAGGCCACCTTTTCCTTTCCCGTGGGTATCATAAGAGGCCACTGAGGAAGGGCGAGAGATGGGTCCGTCCCGCTCAAAACATCTCCAAAGCCTAATTGCGGTTGCCAGTCCGCCTGTCAAGTGTGGTAACTATTGCCAAAACCCTCCAAAGGGGGCTTATTTTCAGCAGTGGATAGTTAATGATGATGATATGATAAGAATCAATTATTCAAGTAATAATATAATATTGTTAGCAAAAGTAGAGAACTGAATAATTGTGATTGTGCCCAAATTCACTGAATACATTTTCTTTACTTAAAACTAACGCACTATATAATAATAATAATCACAAATTTTATAAAAATTCCAGATTAAGGTTAAGTTACATCCATAGCATATTATGTTTATATTAAGCAGTGGGACGGTAATTATTTAATGAAGAACAAGTCTATCATATAAGCTTTTTATAAATTCATATCCAACACAAAAATAATTGCAATATATCTGGCTAAAAACATATAATTGTACTAAAAATAACACCTAATAAAAGATGTCTTTTACTGTAATAGTATTTTTTTTGCGTTTTAAAGTGACAACCGAATACTGACTTGAACAAATTCACGAAATAATATTTTCGTCAAATTTAAAATAGCTCCAACCGTAGCGATTTAAAAAAAATCCGAACGTAACAAGAAAAAACCTTCCTGAATAAAATACGATAAAGGGAAATGAGATATAAAGTCAGTAGAGTGAGTTCCCAATTAACTTCAGTAGCAGAGTTGAAAGCGCCTCTGAATAATTAAAGCAGGCTGCGGACGGGCCAACCCTTATCATCTGATGTTTCGCTTCGTTACACTTTTCATAGTTTCGTCCCTTTTGTATCACGCACTTTATGTGTAAGGTTACACGAAACTCGTGCTAGGTGACAAAGTTATTAAACAATTGCTGTATAGGGGGAAGACATTGTTTGTAACAGGGACTAGTGTTTTTATTGCTAGTAACAGCCTTGTCAGATCAACATCTACGTGGTTTTCCTTGAAAACCACGGTGATTAATCACGATGAGCTAACTAGGTCAGTTATTTTCGTGCTTTCTTCATCTGACACTGGTTCTTTCTTATGAGTACGTCTATGAAAACATATGATAGTTTCGTTTGTCACTTGTTTGTATTAGGGGGATTAATCTTCATCATATATCATCAGATCAGCCTATAACTGTCCACTCCTAAACATAAGCCTTCCCTATATGGGGATTTTTGACAGTAGTTGCCACGCTTGGCTGGCGGGTTGGCAACCGCATTTAGTTTTTAGTGATGTTTTGAGAGGTTGCTGCCCATCCTTTGACCAGTAAGGGACTAATATTATAAAACGTACAATATCTGTAAGAGGGAAAATGATATGCGGGTAAAAGACGAGTACGATGTACATTGAAAAGTATGTAAAGATTGAGCATTTTGCACTGTTTCCTCTGCCTACTTGTAAGGGATCGCTGTAAAGATAGATAACAAAGAAAGTATAAAAAATATATTACCATTATGATCAATTCTGTTTGTAGCTTCGATTGAGAGGTTATGTTTATTTTTGAGTCCGTCTGTTGCCATTGTATAATAGCTCCTGCTGCTACAATAGAGCCCACTAGACGTTCTTGTATGTCCACTTGAACAATTTGAAGATTTTGCGGCACATTGGGGTCATATCCCACGTCGTTGTATTGTGGGTGATTCAGTGCGACCCATTTGGAGTGCTTGCTCAATTCTATGAGGTGTTCGTCTCGTCTCCACTTCCATTTAAATATAACACGTAAAGCTACGGGAGTAGTGATTTGAAAAGAGAGCTGCTGAGCGTTGCGAGGAATAGACGCCATTTCTGTCCAACCTGATGAAGAAGCATGTAAAGGAAAGTGAAATGTAGGTAAAATTATATAAACAGTTTAGCTAGTACTAAGTAACGTTATCAATAAAAAAATTATTTAGTGCATATTATTGTTCACGTAATGACAAGCATCTCTCATTTTTTTTTTTTAATGGAATGACAACCCTGCTTGTGCTATCGGCATATGCTAGCGATTGAAGAATGATAAATGAGGATGAGTCATTTATCATTCTTCAATCATGATCAGTCGGCCCATCGTGACGAATTAATCAAGAATAATCACGGTGTTTTCCAGGAGGAACCGCGTGGAGAGCGACCTGATAAAGTATTATTATTATATTTTAGCAGTGGAAAGAGAGACCCCTAACAAACCTTTTTCCCAGCAATTATCATCACCCACAAACTATATTAGGGTTGGTTCGAACTTTTAAAATATGAATACCTTCATTGCCATATCTCGCTCATAACACAGGATAAATTGCAATGAGACAGAGGTAACTATATAGTCTACTTTCTGAAGGTATAATCTGATAAGAATTATAATTTTCGGATGGTTTAAAAGCTTTTTATAAAAAACATATGGAGAAAAATTAAGATAGTTTACCAAAAGTTCTTTCTTTGTAAATTCAGTAGGTACAAGCGAGATTATAAATTGTATAGTACATTATCATTACTGATGGACGGACACGCAGTTGAGTCAAATTAAAAAAGTTTTCCGACTGAGTATCGAGCTTAGAAACTCTTTTATTTAATACGAAAGATAAGGAATGTTACTGATGTCCAAGTTATTAAAGAGATGCTTTACGTAGTGATAAATAAACAGACATATGACATTCATGTGTGAAAATGTCCTTCTGAATTTGATTTAGTGCTTCTGTAAAGCATAATTTTCCCCTGTAAAACGCAGACTTTTTATATAAAAAGTGCAATATAAATGAGCGGGGAAAGGAATTGTTAGGAATAGGGCTACTATATTGACACAGGTTAACTATCATGCGGTTTTCTCTGGAAATCATTTTGATTAATATTTGTCTCCTTAGGTTAATTGACGTTCTTTCATTCTTACCTAACATCGTTCACTGGTGTCCTGCAGCGCACATCGATAGAACAGGCGTGATTACCATTCGGATATCTTCCATTAAAAAAATATAGACACAATGTTTGTGAATGAGCAAATGTATAAATACCAAGATTTGTGTATTTTTTTCAAATGGTTATGTTCGTCTTAAAGAGAAGAGACGATATCAAGAGTAGGAGAGAGTGAAGTATACTATTACACATACTACAGTGTTATTTCTTTATATTGGTACAAATGAATATATGAGTATACCTTTTACAACACTTGTGTGTAAATAAGTGTTGTTGTTGCAGTACCCGTCGGGACACCAGTTGCACGTCGGGTCTGTAGAGTTACACTGCCCTCTCACGCAAGTGCCCTGTAATTATGTCTGTATAAATCAGTATTACATAGATATCTAAAGACAAATATTATTCTTCGTGGGTTACAAGTACATGAACATCTTTTTAAATAACTTCTAAAAAGAGGATGCATTAAATCGTCTGTATTTTTTGTGGCTATAATGAGACATATATGATCGATGATTGCAATCGTGAGCGATTATGTAAAATTATGAACCGATTTTGATATGTTTTTTTTTTACTATAGGTTTGAATAAATTTTCGTATTAGTCCCATATTAATTTTGTTAGGGTTCTGTACTAAAACGATACAAAGGTCTGTCACAGCGTTATATCTTATAGCAACTACTAATGCTATTGACTCTATATATTGCAACGGAAATAATAAAAAACAATATTTTGTTTGCTACGCGATCCAAAATGGATACTCAAAATTTTATAACTGACTTACGTGTCCAAGTGGGGGCTTTATTAGTATATTTATATTTATTTAGTTTTTAACCACAATTATGACACTTAAACACTTTTTTCCGTTAAGTTCACTTATCTAAGTGAGACCGAGGGATGTATACAAAATATCAACATTGTAACTCGACTACCACGCTTTTCTCTGTCAGAATATCTGTAATTCTAAAGGTAGCCTGTTATGAAAAATATAGGTCTACAAAAGAAAGGAAAGTAATAAAGTTATGTTAATGGAACGCGCGGAAAGGTAAGGTACAATCTAAATTCTGAAGTACAATGCTCGTTAGACGTCTTGTATAAACAGTCGTGTTTAAATAAACAAACCTTTCTCTGAATAAACATGATGCTTAAAAATGTTGGTGCCTGTATTTATTTAAACAGGATAAAAACAGTCAGCGATATCAGGTCTTTTATTTTTGTAGATTAGCATATAGGTATTACATATTTGATATTTTTGTGCATTGCAGGTTTTTGTATTTTATGCACGAAAAATTATTAATTCACTCTTGCGCCACCTGTCCATTTTTATCTGTTTTCCTTTAACCAAAGGTTGTCTGTAAGAGATTGCCCTAGCGATAAGACCGCCTTTTGTACCTTTATGTGTATATTTCAATCTGTATTTATGTTACTGTATTTCACTTGAATTATTCACTTGTCATTGTATATTTTTATTTATGGTGCAATAAAGAGTTAAAAAAATAAATAATAAATTTAATTAATATTGAGAGCACTTTGTTAGTAAATATGTATAATAACAAAAAGTTTATATATATAAAAGTTTGTATATAAGTAGAAAACAAGACAGTTGACAGTCATTTGGCTTTTTACTTATTAGAATTTTGATATCTATTATAATGTATTTATCTGCTAATAGTAATTTACCAATTATATGTAACATATGCCGTGTGGTCCCGGCATAGAATAGGCTACCTGTTCCTTTCCCGTGGGTGTCGAAGAGGCGATTAAGGGAACTTGATAGAGGGATGCGCAGCAGCGTTCCTTTTAAAACATTACCAAAGCCTAATTGCGATTGCTAATCTGCTTGTCGTGTGGTAACTACTGGCAAAATCCCTCTTATGGGGGAGATACATTATTGTTTTATTATTATTATATATTTGATATAATAATAATACAACAATAATGTATCTGCTAGTGACCCGCCTGGCTTTGCACGGATAAAAAAACTAAAATGTAGCCATGTTATTTGCAGTTAATATAGCTTTATAACATATAAGTGAAATATTTTTTTAAATTGGTTATGTATTTTTTACATTTATCCATTACAAATAAAAAGACTAAATTTTATTATTATTAAATTCAAATTAGTTCAAATTGTTATTATCTATGTTACATATACTTTATTTAGGGACAAAAACCTAAAATGCCGTATTATCATAACCAGAATAAGGTTTTGTATATTTTGACACTATTTATACAAAAATGCCTGCATACTTTTATTCCAGTTTAAAAAGCACGCTAGATTAATAGAATACTTGTTATCAGGGTACTTTAAAGAGTTTAAATTTCGTATCCGTAAATATATCCGTAAATATTTGGATTTTTGATACGTATATACATTGGTACATTGCAATATAATGTGTTTATTAGGAATTGGTAATATTGGTACTGCTCCTTCCTATATCTATGGATTGGTTTCTTTTGGACATTGATGGCAGAAAAAAGGCCATCATTCATTTCGATATCGATTCTTTATAATCACAAACAAACATCTAAAATAGATATTTGTTGTTGCAGTAACGTAGATATGGCAAAATAGATTTGACATAATCTCGTATACAGATATAAACTAAAACTTGGAATAACAAATAAGATAAAAGAAATATAAGAAGCCTCGTGGGAAATTTGAGGTAACGGAAAACTAGCATAAATAATATTCATTTAGTGGTCTTATAAGAGTAGCTACGTTCATTTTTACATTTACTTCATATAATTTTATATTGAATATTGTCATTATAATATTAATCGCGATATTATACATAGAATATCTTCTAACCTAAATAATAACATGTGTCCACTTATAGTGCTCTTTATATGGACTATAAATGGGCTCGAAATAACTTTATAACAATTGAAAATGTTAAAGACTTAAATTATAAAATATTATAAATAAACATATATTAAAGTTTAATAATTTTTATGTGAAAGAGTAAAAATATCCATCCATCCTCACAAACTTACGTAAGAAAAGGGGTTGTAATTATTATATTATATTAATATTATATATTTACAGTAGTTACGACATTTATTTATAAAACAACATTATTTGGTAAAGTGCCTAATAAATATTAATATATTTCGTAACCACTTCTGTGCCTAAAGAGTTTTATTTTCTTTAATATTTATTAATTTAATAATTATAAGTAAAAACCTATAGATACAAACAATTTGGTCACAAAAATTCTTTCTCACTAGCTATCTTACAGATACTTTAAGACAGAACAGACATTTTCTGGATATACATATACAAAAGACATTGGACTACTGGTCGTTTCTTACACTGTAATTTGGAATAGCTGTTGGCGAATTATAGTAGATGTTGCTTATGCAACTTATACATACTTGAAAACAAACATCATAAGGCCTTTCATAGCCGCATGGTGAACCATCTTCTAGAGAACCATAGGAGGTATGTTCTTTTCCGTTAACATCCACACACCATAATTCACATTGTCTAGATTCTGTAGAAAAAGAAAAAAATAAAATAAATAAGTAATAATAAATAAATGAATAAATAAATACATTGTCCAAAAGACCACAAAATATTTATTCTTTCATATTGCTTTAAAAATTGGTAAAATTTTAAAGTGAAAGGCTGGTTGGTAATCACAGTTAAGCTTTAGTGATGTTTAAAAAGGGACGTTGCTGCTCATCCCTCGACGATTAAATTTCCTTAGTCGCCTCTTATGACAACCACGGGAAAGTAAAATGTGGCTTATTCTATACCGGGACCACGGGGTTACATTACTTATTATAAATATTTTTTGTCGTCTTTAGACTTGTGTATTTTTTAAGAAAAAGGCAGTGCTTGTGTATTTTTTTAATGGGATGATAACACAATAGTAAACCCCGCCCGCGCTATAGGTATGTGTATACCGATATACACTGGCGGGGCACCAATGAACGGTGACAGATGAGGATGGAAGCAGGTCAGTTGGTTAATCGTGAAGAGTTTAAAAATTAGACACGACGATTCTAGCAATGGGGTTGCTAGTTCTCATTATTAATAATCCATTTTCCGGCAGTTGCTGTGGTTTACTTAATATAAATTGGAGACTAATATATATTCAAACAATAAAAATATGGTTTTAAAGAGGCGGAAATTAACGCGAGATTATACCTGTCGCGTTAATTTCCGTCTCTTATAAATCGTAAAACAGAATCTGAAAGTCTAAATGTTAATACAGTAGAATCGATTATTCAAACATCGATTATCCGATTATTCGATTCCGAACTTATTCTACAATTACCGATTTAGAAGTGGTATTATGCATTAGTTGTGTAAATAGGTATTATGCATTCCATTATCTATATGGCTTGTAATTTTTTTATATCATAATGTTTAAATTATATATGTAAAACCCTTTACATAATAAAAAAATATTAAAATTTAATTGTGTATTGTTTAATTCGACTTTGAAATCGATTATCCGGATTTTCCATTATACAGAATACCCCTGGTTTTATTTGATTCGATAATCGAGATTCTACTGTATAAAAATAGACTATACACATGCGCCTACTCATTAAATTTTTACTTAGTCTAACTATTATCAGTTTTTAAATAAATTTTCGGAACTTAACCCATCGCAATTTTAAATAAATAGTTCCTAAAATTTTTTTGATTAGACATGTTCATTTAATGTGTATATATTATGTATTGCAAAATTAAAACATACAGCCCGCTAAATAAATACTCTGAAATATATGTGAAATATGGGAACGTGATCACAATTTATACTCATATAGGATTATCGTGCAGTGGATGGGAGAAACAAAAACAAATTGTAACGTTTGCAGTTCAAAGCGGGCAGTTCATACCAATTGTGAATCTTGCTTTATAAAATTTGTGCATAGTGTGACACCTTCGTGTGACCATAAGAATTTAGATTATTTCATGTTATTTGATTAATGTGTGTGCGAAAAATGGGTAATGTGATGTAAGATCGGTCACCTGACTGATATTTTATCTTCTTACTTGACTATGCATCAGATGATAATATCGATTTTCTTAAAGCTTTTCTGTGATTTTTAAACATATATAAATAATAAAGTTAAATATAAATAAATATAAACCAATATGTACTATTATTGAATTATAAAATATATAAAGTGAGATGTGGCAGTGGAAATATTTTGTACTTAGGTTACTGGTAGCACTGTTCTAATTGTAGTTTGGTCCTTAATATAATGGTAACACAGTATATTCTTGGTTGTAAATAAATGGACAGTTTACCTTCAGCATGCACGTGTGGTATTAACCGTTTGGATTGCTGAAGGCAGAGATCAGCTCGTACATCTTGGGGTACTTTACAGGCGCCGGCGTCCGCCCAGCAAGACATAACCTGCGAGCTTGGCCCCTCACACGCACTCTCCGAACCAGAACTGTGAACAACTTTTTTCATCAACATCATTCATCATTTTAGCTTACAATTATTTACTGCTAAGTATAGGACATGTCTTTATGGTATAAAAATGCACCGTTCTAGATCAATGTCATTAGTTTATTGTCGAACAGTTATGCAATATCTTTCAGTAAGGGAGAAAAGGGATTGTTAGTAATGAGGTCTAATAGTCCCATGCTAATAGGTCAATATATCTTAACAGGTCGACCTTCACGCGGTTCCCCATGGAAACCATCGTGGTTATTTTTTTTTAATATGTTACGATGGGTCAACTGACCTGCTTCTATCCTCACCTATCTTTTCTCACTGGTGCCCCGTCAGAATATACCGATAACGCAAGCGAGGTTACCATTTCATTTTTACCCGTAAAAAATATATTTGAATTAGGTATAATACAGATAAAAAAATATCTTTTTACCTATATGCCATATAATTTGTTGTATTAGAATAATAGTTAAATATACAGTGTACAAGAGCGAGCTTATCTCTAAAGAGATTTCTTTCAGTAAACTCAGAATAAATAGGATCTTATGTCTACTTTACTATGTAAATATACTGCATGTATACCAAATTTCATGATAATTAAATAGGCCTTAAGGTGCCAGCCAAGAGAACAAACAACCAAATTCATTTTCATATTTATAATATTAGTAAGGACTAGGTAGGACCATAATTAACATTAATATTTATTTTTATTTGCGTACCCTTTATCTGACATAAGCGATTGCGCGTACGCAGGCCGTATCCACACGTGGCAGTGCATTGGCTCCATGCACTCCATTCACTCCATTCTGATGTGGGCGCTACCACCTTTTCCTTATCCACCACGTGACCAGGCATTGGCTCGCAGACACGACCTACACACCACTGAAATAATAACATTGCTAATAAAAAAAAAACAGTGCTTTAAATACGCATATGTATTTTGAGTTTTGAGGGAAATCAGTCTCCGCGTTGAGTTGGTCGGAATCAGATGACATCACGATATATAAATTATGCCACTATTTGAGAGCATAAGTGAGGAATAGTGAAAATATTTAAATATAAATTGATTAGGCATATAGCTAAAAAAATACCACAAAAGTACGAACTATATACATGAGTAGGTATACACATAAATAATAGTCACTATGACGAGGAACTGAAGCAAGGAATAGTAAGATCGAGTTTCAGAGAGTGTGTTTTTCATGCTGTGATGGTTATTTTCTATTAAGTCGACCGTCACCTTGTTTGCTATTTCAACTTGATAAAATAAAAAGAAAGATCATTTAGGTACACAATAACAATTAGTATGACTGTATAATCTTAATTTTAGTTTGTCTCCACATTACCTACAATACAGTGAATGGAACAATCGATGGATACTGTTGAAAAAATTTTATGGTATAAATAACAATAAAGACTGAATAAGTAGATAAAAATAATCCACATCATCTACAAAATGTATACAACTAATTACAAATGCATCAAGTTTCATAAATTTAAATTATTTTTGTGTAAATTTTGTCCCTGTAGAATTAACAACAACAAAGAGTAATAAAATTACTATTTCAAAATTATTACAAGCCTACAGAGGGCCTTTATTGTAAGGAGATTAAAAAGTCCGGAGGCTGTGCTGTATAATTTTGACATTACCTTTTCCATTTGGCATTTGTCGTGTACTTATGAAATTTTTTTAAGCTTTTTAATTGAAAGGCTCTGGTTTATAAGTTATGTAATAGTCTTAGAGAATATTATTATAACTAATTCTAGATAGATAGTTGATTAAAAATCATTGCCGGGAAAACAGCCACTTAACCACTGGATGACGCGTTGTTTTTTTGACTGTGCTGAAGTTTGAAAGTATACTACACACTTAACGAAAAGCGCGCTATTTTAAAGAAAAGCCGGTAATTAATGCAATTCAGACACTATCTAAATGTTATTTAAAAATGACTTCTCGTACATGCAATAAAATAAGTAATTTTTTTTTATCCTTAAATTACCAGTATAGTCATATTAAAAGTAAATAATCTTATATAACCTTACAATTATATTGGGAATATCATCAAATGAAAGTTATTACGTGTTTTCCCTTTACGATAGTTAATTGAACTTTTATTTAAGTCTTTGTTCCACAACGGCGCCATCAAGTGATGCTTATTAATGAAGTGCAGTTTTATTCAATGAATTGAAACTCGCATGAATGCCATCTCTGATTACTGTTGTTTTGTTCTTTTGTGCACCATCACGCTTTATATTTATCTGCGAAACTCAGCTGGCGCCATTTGCATAGTGTGAAAACAAAATATTCGCGTCAGATTTTTGCTGATTTATGCATCCGCACGCGGCAACATATAGCCGTGAACACTGATGGATTCCGCAGTGACGCGTCACGTAAATGCCAATGCAATGTTCAATCGCGTTTCCTATTTGTATCGAGTTTTAGCATGTGAAATACATAGCAAATTGAAATCGGTTGTCCAATATCCGTATATTTATTGATTTAATCAAAAATAATCGATGTAGGTAAATTTCATGAAAACGAATCTTATTTATTTATAAACTCTATTCATACGTTTTATGGAATAAGATCACTTAACACTTTGAATGCATAATTATCACTTTGTTAATAGATCGAAGGTTATTTTACATCGTTTCTTATAAACCATAAACGGTAAATTAAATTGATAGTTTTAGTTATTCATTTGATTACTCTATTTGTGTACCCTACACCTTCCTTTCCCGTGGGTGTCGTAAGAGGCGACTAAGGGAAGTCGAGGAATGGGCAATAGCGTCTCTTTTAAAACATCTCCAGCCAAAGCCTAACTGCGGTTGCCAATTCGCCTGCCAAGCGTGGTAACTACTGGCAAAAACCCCAAGCTTATGTTCAGCACTGGACAGTGAAAAGCTGATATGAAAATGATGATAATTGTTATAAAAGAAGTCACTTCTAATCATATAGGTAATAAATAATTAAACGACATACAGTTTTGAAATACTCAATATAAGTAATGATACGCTCATGACTATAAAACTAAATGAGGTAGTCAGAAGCATTTGCCGTCTGTTGCGTTGCCGTATTCAACAAAGTAACATGTTACAGCGTCTGTTTACATGTTTAACTACTTATTAATATTTCCGATATACTTTGAAATATATTCGCCTAAAATTAATCCATATAAAGGAACAATTTTCCTTTTTAAATGCAACGGGTAACTTTATACAGAAAAACGGTGGCTAATTTTTGACGTCGATTGACAAACTATCATTAAACTTTAGAGAATAATCTGAAATTTTTAATTTTTCAAGTTCGTATAAGGTCGTATCGTGATCTTGCATCATCATCATCATAACAGCCGTTAACTATTCACTGCTGAAATCAGTCTCCCCCATAAAGGAGGTTTTGCCATTACTTGCCACGTTTGGCAAGTGGGCTGGTAACCGTAGTTAGGTTTTTGGTGATGTTTTAAGAGGGACGCTGCCGCCCGTCCCTGAACCATTAAGTTTTTTTTTTTATACAACTTAGAATGGCGAACAAGCTGACGGCCCACCTGATGGAAAGTGGTAACCGTCGCCTATGATATACAGTATATTGTTTCGCCCATGATACCTCCCATGCGTTGCCGTGCCTGAGGACTCAAATTTTATTCCTCTGTACCCTGTAAATTCACACCATATCCCACCCTTCAAACCGAAACACAGCTATGCGAACACAACTGCTTCACGGTAGAAACACGAATGGGACAGAGGTACGCAAGCAATCGACTTTTGTACAAAGTCTCTCTCTGGTCTTCCTTTAGTCGACTCATACGACACCCATGGGAAAGTAAGGGGTGGCCCATTCTATACCGGATCCACAGGCTCTTGAATTTTGAATACCGACTAGTAATTCTAGAGATAAGCGCGTTATAATTCTTCCGCTTTATTATTTTTGTACAGAATTTGTAATAATTTTAAATATCATAATTTTTTACAGAAATACATCTTCAATATTAAGGAATTAGATTCGAATACGAAAGTAAAGGGCATATCATGTACATACCCGATTATTTCCACAAGGCGTGCCTTCCAAAGGTGGAGCGCGTTTGGTCCGGCAGACATGTGGCACAGCGCGGTGGGCGCACCACAGTCGCGAGCAAGCTGATCGTACTTTTACTGTTCTACATACTGAATACCTGCAACAAAGTTCATTGATGATAATTTTTAAGATTTGCACTGACGAGTAACAATCCTCCACGTATAATTTTGACTGTCATAATAAAAGCGGTTGAGAAAGGTCTTTCGTTATTCGATTTACTCCTATGATATAAATTTAATATTACCTAAATAACGAAAGATTGAAATCGGTCAAAAACATAAAATGTAAAAAATGTGCAAGGTGACAGTAAACTAAGTTCTTCCATTTCAAAAAGTTGTAATATCTCATGTAAAATTAAGTCAGTTTTGTTAGTGTTTATAGAAGCACTTATTCAACAAATTTGTAATAAATTGTTATCTTATCAGTTACCTGTCCACATTTACAGTGATTGTAACGATACTAGACATATTTTTTTTCTGTAACAATTATAATGACTTGGTAATTGCATATATTTACCACTTATCTATCGTAAGTTTAACTTATTTGTTATATTTAATAATGCTATCACGAAGTGATCCTTCGTGTCGGATTTTTGAAATGAAAAGGGAGATTTTAAGTATAATTTTAATCTGTTTTTAAATTAAGTTTTTTTTTTTGTTTCAGATATACAGTAGCAGATGTTAGAATCTAAAATTAATATTAATGTCTAAACATATGGCTATACGGCCCTACTGAGACGCAATTCCCGCTTTTAGGCAATAATTTGTGGAACAAATGAAAGTGACTTAATAATACATTGGTGGATAATATACGAGTATATTCAGCAGTAGATATCATATTACCTATGGTTTAAGGGAAACATACTGACATAGATTATATGCTTGCTTTGATAACACTGTTTGTCATATAATTAACCTTAATTTTTCGGAAGAACGTTTGTTAAGAATATATAGTTCGGTTGAAATTTTATCTCAATATTATTGCCTATAAATATTCAAGATACGTCTTTAGGCGAGTAAATTTTCACGACAGGACCAGTCTCCTGTATTAGGTCATACGTTGAATATAATTAAGCGACCTAAATGGACTCATCATTTGGACCTAATCGAATCAAGCTCTCAGTATATTCTCGTAGTACTCCTTCTATATTAGGTAGTTTCGATATTTACTCATACATATTCTTATCATATCCTTCTAAAGCAGTGTTAATACAATAATAAAATTGTATTCTATAGTTGAAAATCATGATCATTTTGGATAATGCTGAATTTTTTGTTTTCAATAAGTTATCATGACTTCAAGATTCTTCCTTAGGGCTTTTATTGGTGAATAGTATTTTGTCAATGGTAGAATAATCGTTAAGTTAGGTACCAATGGCAGTTGCCAAATGAGTTGACAAGTTAGCGGTTGTTCTCAATAAATTAATTAAATTAATTATTAATGTTGTCAAATACTATTATCAGATGCCGGGTGGCAAGGCATTAGGTATTGTCACTAGTAGAACCTTAATGAGTTTTTAAAAAGAAACTACGATATCTAATTGCAAAAGAAAAATCATGACATAACATTTTCTCTTGACAAGAGATGACCCAGAACTTGCCGCCTTTTTTATCTGTCTATGATGTTAGATTAATTATTCATTATACATATAACCTATAAACACTGTTTTTGATTGTTTGTACTTATAGATATGAAAGTAGTAAAGATATTTAGATTTTTTTTTATAAAATTTGGCATTTAGACAAATTATAGAATAACTCGTAGAATAACTGATAGAGTACTATTATCCTAGACTACGTCAGCAAAGCCGTGTAATATTATAATATTATTATAATTTAATAATATTATAATAATATAATATTATTAATCTTGTAATATTATAAATATATGAATGATGCAATTATTTAAATATTTGTTACCGAATCGCAAACAGAAACGAATGAAGCCATGAGTTACCACTAGTTACCTACAGAGTTCAAAAAACTTTGTAATTCATGAAGCCATACACGTGTTCTCAAAATACGAATTAAATCTATCCCACATCTTAATTTAACATGAACAAATACAGTATAAATTTTGTACTACAATATCAGATTTGTCCTTGCCGGAGGCAACAAGGGCGAGATTTCTGCGAACAAAGGTCGAGGATTGTTTACGCGGTGTTGCTTGCCTACTGAATTACTAGCGTCTGAACATTTTCCCCAAAAGGAATAACTAATAAAAAAAATATTATTAATAGTTTATTGCTTGTTTTAGTACGTTCATATTTTTGTAATAATTTCTTTGAGATAGTTTAGAAAATCGTTGTTATATTTGTCTTAGTTGTAGTAACAACATAATGATAGTAAAAAAAAGATCATATCATATACGGTGAATCATAAACTGTGAAACTTGCAAAATTTAACAGTCGGGGTTTTCACACATTTTTATCTATGTTTAGAGTTTTATTTATTTTAATGTAATTGTATAATGCTAGATGATGAATCCACTTGTGAAGTAAAATATCATGTAAATGAAATTACCGGTGTTTAAATAAAACACATCACAAAAGTTGTACATTTCACGAATTCCTAAGTACAGATTCATGCGTCTAAAAATTATAAAGTCATGGAGGACCGCATTTCTCTATTTATATTTCCTTTTTTGAACCTTGGAATAGCAAATAAGCTTAATAAATAATATAACAATAAAGACCTACCAGAATGTAAGTGGTAACTATCTCCTATGGACATAAACATAAATGAAATGTATTGCATTTAGCTCTATTGTCAAATAAATTAATATACGAGTATGTTTTATTTATGTATACATACATATGTTCAAATCATGATGGTACTCGTCTAGAGTGGCCTGAGGAGGCTTGCTAATATGTTAGACCTAATCGAATTGCACGGCACACTGCTTGTTATTGCTAGGTGGTTCGAGAAGGCAGATTGTTGGTATATGACTTATGATTTTCCACACGCCTAACCTATGTAATCGTATATGTACTTATGGAAACAGTAGTTGTTTCTCACGGTTTTCCCATATGAGTCAGTATAGGAAGTATCAAATTTGTAAAATTATAATAAATAATACTCCTGTGCCAAATTATATTTAAATCCATTTGGCTGTTTAAGCGTAATTAAGTAAGAAATGTCAAAAAAAAAAAAATGGAAAAACAGAATAGGTAATCTATTGATTTTTTTAATAAATGTCGAAGTAGCAAAAATATATACATATATCAATAGATAAGCTCAGTTAAATCATAAGAGACTCGTCATCATTCATAAGTAGAAAACGGCTTCTTCTAATAAAACATTATAACAGACTATTGGACTTATCAGATAGTACTCACGTGTTCATATTTCACCTCTACTATAATATCAACTTAGTATTATTACAGTTATCTATTTATACTATTTACTACATACAGAACTATTTTAAGTGGTAGTCTGTATTATTAAAAATCATCAAAACTCGTTCAGTAGATTTCATTCAATGCAATGCGAAATGCAAAAAATGCGATAAAAATATCGTAATAAACATATACTATTTTAGAGGATGAAACATATATTTAAAATAACATTTTTAATTAGAAAATATTTACACAGAAATCCAATATTTCCGAATCAGTTTTACGATGTTTGGTTTGTTCTAATAATACTTTATTGGCGTTTTTATTCAATGTGGATATTAACGTCATATTACGAATGATACCAGATCTACACATATTAACGCGATGTACAAAGATTCCTTTATGATGTAGACATAAATTGAAAGTTTTTCAAAATTCTGGATAAAACGTTGTTAATTTTGACTGAAATTGCATTTCAAACAAAATAAATCTGACGTGTCTCAAAATTCCAAATCAATATAGATGTCTCTAATCAAAGATATTGAACTATCTGAGTCTCCAGTGGTCTTTTATAAATTAATGCTATTTATATTATTAATATATTTTTAAACAATTTTTGTAATCGATAGGGTTTACAAAGATTCGCCAAGGGTCTCGCCGTTTCCATACGGAACGTGAATCTGTTTGAGAAGTAAATGAATGATTTTTTAAGTACACGCGGTCATATTGATTGTCAAATGAATATGACCGCGTGGTATGAATGTAAAAAATTAAATAATGAGGTTCAGTGCGAAAACTTAACGACACACGAGCGCAATGTACGTATACCATATTTCGATATGTACCAAATTTCATTCTAATCAGTTTAGCCGTTTAACAGTAATTGAGTAACATACAAAATTCTTTAGAAACTTTTACATTCGTAATATTAGTAGGATTTAATGTGTATACTTAATATCTAGTCATTCAACGGTGTGTATATGTTGACTATTAAAATGCTTTTTTGCGAACAGAAATACTTGTTGAAAGCTCAATATTAATACAGAGATGTACGAAATGGTGATAGACGTGCATATGTAATTTATAGCTTTCTATTAAGGCAAGGTACTAACCCTTCTCCAAATTCGGTCCTACACTGCTCGTCCATAGTGAATACGTAATTGGATAATTCCTTAGCACCTCCCAGCTCCACTCCTTTGTCTTGGCTACGTTCATGGAGGCACCACCATTTTCTGTAATATAATATTCTTGTTTACCTTAGTATTTTTTGCTCATCTTCAAACCATGCCCTTTAAAGATTAAAAAGAAAAATTTCAGTGGCCAACGGTTTGCCTTAATTTATAATATTATAGATCTTTAGAGAGCTGCTGTAATCTATGGTATAAGAGGCATATTATTTTGGTTCTCAAGTGCAGCAAAGTGCTCTGAACAAAATAGTATTTATAATGTTTGATGTCTGCGTAGAACTGTACAATTTGTGATAAAAGTGGTATTCAGTTTAGAAGTATGTTAAAGATCTGCTACTGTGACTCACTTACAAATATGCAACGAGTATTTTGGAATCAGCAAAAAGCAGATGACAACTTAAGTGGTTCAATGTCATAGGACTAATTCATAAAATCTACAAGATATTAAATGAAGGTAAGAGAAAACAAAAAACAAAAGATTCTAATTCCAAATACCAAGTTACTTGGAATTCAGACTATGGTTAATTCTCTTCTAAAGGAAGGCTGTAGGCTTTCTTTTTTTTATCTAACTCTACCTAGTAATTCCAAATGCAGGATTAAGTATTATTGGATTATTTTGAGATAACATCTTAGTGCTTACAAATGGTAACGCATAAATTACTATGGGCGCCACAGTACATGCTATGAAGCCCATGACGTCGTTCTTGTATATAAATGAGGGTTACTACTTCTCAAGTGGGTCGCCTTGTTTATCATTCCAAACTGCAAGATTCTTTCCCTGCTATGCATTACATCGAAGAATAAATAAAACTATTTAAAATAATCTGCTATCCACTGGCGAAGGTGATGCCTGTACACTTTAGTTATATACAGTTTATGTTACACTCGACCTTGATGACCTTGATCAAACAGACGGAAATATATACAATGTAGGGCATACCAATCATGCAAGTCACTAAAACAAAGACCTTGCACATCAAGTCCAATTGTGGATGCTTTGTTTAGTATATTACGTACTTGGATTTCTCATGAAATTGCTCTCTTGAGCAGCTGGACCACGCGAAGTTTTGGAGAGTGGCCAAAACTGTAGGTGCCATCACTGTGCCATTATGCGCTTCTTTCGCACATTGTTCATCTCCGTCGTGGGTTAATCCCAATCTGGACAAAAAGGAACACTATTATGTAAATACATAAACGAGTAATTTATTATGTAAATATATAATTTACATCATTTATTTATATTACATTTGATAAAATGATGAATACTAATGTAAACTTGAATAGGTACTTATTTTAATGTGAATTATAGTATTTAATAATATAATTATTATCTTGTCCTTATCCTAATTATTTTTTGGTCGGCGTAATATGTTTTTATTCATATTAAACAAGGTTTTGGCTTTGAATTTTATTTTTAGTAGAGCAGTCGTGTAAATCAGTCTAAATCAGTACTTGAAGAGTACAAGAAGTTAATTTAGAATTTAATATTGGTTCAAATGATTTCTAAGAATTCTCGCACAGATGCTATTTGGAACTTTCAACATAGCAAGATAAAGGGGCTGTAATTCCTTTGAAGATTAAAAGATTTAGATGCCAGTTCTATATGCATTATATAATGTTATATACATATTCACTGGTTGAACTCCTTCATTGATTGTAGTGTTTATTAATGCTTTACATTCAATATACTCGTATTTATAAATAGAGGTTCTATTAACTGTTTATGATATAATATTTTCAATTTATTTATAATGTGTATTATATTTATATATGTATATTATATAACTCCGTTGTAACAGATTATATTTTAAAGAACTCTTCGACATGATGTCTAATGTCACCATTTACCATGCGCTGCTCGCTAGAGGCAGCGAATCCATCTTCACACCCTAGAACCAGAACAGTCACGTACAGTGAAATTTCAAAGGAGTCTCCTCCCGCGAGCATTTAAATTATGAAATGTTCTTTCTGCTGAGGTTATCCCTAAAGACATATGTATGGGGTATCACAAAAAGGACGTATAAAGGTTTCTTAAGGGTTGGTTGTTGTTCGTATGGTCTTGGCATAGAATAGGCCACCCCTATCTTTCCTGTGGGTGTTATAAGAGACGACTAAAGGAATTTAATGGTAGAGGGATGGGCAACAGCATCTCTCTTAAAACATCTCTAAAAGTCTAACTGCGGTTGCTAATCCGCTTGTTGCACGTGGCAACTACTGGTAACATTCCCCTTATGGCGAAGGCTTATAATCATCAGTGCACAATTAACGGCTGAAATGAAGAGTTAGCAACTTTCCTGACGTTATAGGCGTCTATAGACTACGGTAACCTTGTTTACCACCATAGTAGTATAAAAGGTATTACCTACAAGTCTTTATTATGTATAACATAAACAAATTGATAAATAGATTGTCTATTAAATTACTAAATCAACCAACTCACGAACTAACATGTAGGTATAATAAACTCTACATTACGGAAGTTTAATAAAATGAAATGACTCTTGCGCAACGCAACCCTAATAAAGTCAATGAATCTGAGGTCAATACTCTCGGTGATTGACGTTGAGAGTATAATCTCATTTAATACAGGCCTATGTTGCCCTGATTCAATCTAAAACTACTAAAATGTAATCTCGTGAACGTGAAAGTTTGTATAGAAGTGTCGATCATGTTTAAACAACTGAACGTATTTAATCTTGTCCAATGTTCTATGCTTAACATATCATCACACCGGATTGTTTTTATTATAATTTATGCCAAAAATATCGCAGGTTATAATTATCGGGTCTAAGTTTCAATTCTAGACAAGTCTAAGGTAATTTTTTTAAGTACAAGCTCGAATAAGTTAAAAAATTTATAAAATATTTATTTTTTTATTACTTAGTAGCATAAAAAAATATTTAGAAAATACTTCCATACATTTTCTTCTGTAATTTAATTTTTATAGATAACTAGCTTTTTGCCCGCTACTTCATATGCGTGGATATCAGAAATAGGAATACTAATAAAATATACTACTTTTATATGACATATAAAACACATACCAATTGTTAAATTAGACCTTTATAAATACAGCTGAAGAAACTGCATTTAATTTGGATCAGTAGTTTTCGTGTGACTAAATACGTGTGAGTAAATTTCGAAAAATTATCATATTAATCTATAGGTCCTATTAAGACTCTTCATATTCATATTTCTTAAATATATATCTCCCATTTATGTACAGACGTCATCTAGTTATAATGCCATTATATTAGTAGAATAAACAACTAAATCGCGTATATTATATGTTGTATTTTAAAAAAACCATGCCATTACATTTCCATGTCTTCGGCGATCAGGCGATTCGTATTTACAATATAAATAGGTGTGGTTTACTTTAGACCACTTTGATATGAAGCGGCTCCTTTAATGTCGCCTTTAATCAATAGTTGACATGATGGCAATTAGTCTGCTCTGACTGCGTCATGGATCAGGAATATCCAGCCACGAACATTATCCAGTTGTGAGGTCAATGTCTCATCAATTTGCTAATCTAAATCTTACCATTTCGAATAAGAAACGTTTAGGGAGATTGGACTACTACAGAATTGAATTTGAATTCTACAAGTTACAGATAGTATTAAGAAGATTTGGACCGTAACATTCTGTTTTGAGCTATTCTGTTTATTCCTATTTTTTTTAACAATAATGAAACTATTATTGAAGTGAAATAAATGTGAATGCAACATTATAAATCAGAACGCAAGCTGAGTGTAAGTAATGTTAGGATCCCTTTTCTTTGAATTTGGCTGGATATGTTGCCACGTGTCTAAATAGAAATTTTTAAGAATCCGTAGAAGAATTGGTGAAAATATATCTTGTTACCCTTAATAACTATTGTTAAGCAAAGTTAGCTCATCCATTATATTCGATTCCGCGTTCCAAGGGTGATTGTAAGTGTTCGAGAGTGCCGCATTACTCGTAAAGTGAACTAAATGGGCTCGCTTGCTATGTTAATTAATATTGACGGTATAATAATATGATTCTGTTTCATTGTGAAGGCAGAGTACTCATATTTCTTATTTTGTTTGTTTGATAATAATATGCTCGCGATTGTTATCTGAGATAGAATAATTAAAGACACTTTATCGATTATTGCTCTTCTTACTTTTTTGTGTATGTCTTCATCGTAGGTATCGCCTATTTACTGTACCAGCGTTGCTCAATTGGGAATTTTTCACAACGCTTAGTAATTAGAGAAAATAAAATACTCATAGAGATTTTTTTGTAATTTAGTGTTAAGTAAATAATAAGGGCATACGGGTATGCGACCCCGGCCTCCCGAGCCGCTGCAGTGTCCCAGTTCTTTCCGCAACTGCAGTGTCCTCTCCTTTTCCTTTCCCACATAAGACCCTTATTCCTCTCATTCACCAATTTTTTTTACGCATTTCCAACGTTCCCGTACTTTTTTCCTCAATCCTTTCCTCCATACCATAGGTGGCGGAAACCACCAACAAATGCATTACTAAAGAGGGTTGACATCAGGCAGGTGGCCGGTCGTAAAACTAAAAACCAAATCTTTTTGTAATATGGATAAAACCATATTACGCCGATCCCAAGTGATTGGGATAAGGGTAGGAAGATGATGATACTTTTTTTTATTTTTATCTTCTTTTTACTATTGCCCAATTTTTCATTTAATTTGCTTATGATATAACCACACAGTGTAAATTAACAAGGGAAAAGAGTCCTTTAGATTGTGTTGTAACATAACATGGTCATCTTAATAAGACTAATCAAATGTATGAGTATCTTACATCACGTCTATGAATCAAACTAATTCAGTGTATGAAATAAACAAATTCTAATTGTTACTAGGCCTACATTCGCGTTTAATCTTGAATAACAATTGTTACATAGTAGGATTATGTTATTACGTACCATATTGATTCACGTATTATAAATTGATGACTAACTCAACACAATCACGTTCAAAAGCGATTGCAACAGTAAATAATGATTAATTCCCTTGCATGTTTATCCAAGACCTCCCTAAGGGCGAATTAATTAATCCGAGTAAACGAAGTTAATTGCGCGTGAGAACACGACGCGAATGTTGGGACGCTGACTGGCATGACGGATTACACCACTCGTGACCATCTCGATTCAATAATTTTACACATTTCCATTTTAAAAACATTGAAATAAATTTTTATAACTAAACGTACAAGGAGGATATTTGAGAAAAATTCATATGAGTGATCTTAATAAGAGCAATAGAAGTTAAAACAAGAATTTTAAAAGATTTTGTCTGTCTCTGTGATTGTCTCGATAGTATACAAAGACTACTGCCCCAAAAGAGGATTTCCCTAGAAACTACAGTATGGAGTTCTTCAAAAAGTGCATATTAAGGTTTCTTAAGGGTCGGTAACGCGCGGGAGATATCCCTGGTGTTACAGGCCTCAGTAGGCTACGGTAACCTTGTTTACCATCAGACGGATCGTATGCTTGTTTGATACCATAGTAGTATAAAATAAATTGCATACGGTTTTCATAACTATGTTTCTGAATGTCTAATTTAAAATCTGGTGTATATTTTATCTCATTACGCCATTTAGAAGTCCATTTCAGTGGGTTTACTAATTCTGAAATTTACGCGTACGAAATAGCGGACAAAAAGCTAGTCTAAAATAAATATATATGTAGATATTTAGACAATACATTCATTTCAATCTAGGCTCATAGATCGATAAAATATATCGCAACTCACTGGAAACAGCATTCGTGTTTCAAATATACTTTAACGACATTAGCTACTTCCCAGTTACTCATTCAACTTATATTTCTCCCTACCAAAAAAATAAAGTCTATATTAATTCCTTACATATATTATATAAACTATGTACTTTGGTGTCTAATAAATAATACTTACAAAGATTTTAATATTATTGAATGTGGCTAAACATTAAATCATCATCATCATATCAGCTTTTAACTGTTGAACATAAGCCTCCCCCAAAAGGGGTTTTGTCAGTAGTTTCCACGCTTGGCAGACGGATTGGCAGCCACAGTTAGGCTTTGGAGATGTTTTAAGAGGGACGTTGCTTCCCATCCCTCGTCCTCCCTTAGTCCCCTCTTACGACACCCACGGAAAAGGAAGGGGTGACCTTTTTTTT